ATTTTGATGTACTGAGTTTTACGATAGATACCTCCCAGGTTTCCTTTCAATATATTATTTAAAGTTCTAGCTGGGCCTTGTAGCGGGCGCCTGTAGTCCCAGCTACTTGGGAGATTGAGGCAAGAGAACTGCTTCAGCCCCAGAGTTTGAGGTTGCTGTGAGCTGTGATGCTAGAGCACTCTACCAAGGGCGACATAGACTATCTTGAAAACAACAAAAAAAAGAAATTCATTAGCTATCTTGCCTCCTACTGGAAAACCAGTAGAATTAAAGTGCATTGTGTAGTCCAGGTGTGGTGGCTCACACCTGTAATCCTAGCTCTCTGAGGCTGAGGCAAGATGGCTTGTGCTCAGGAGTTGAAAGACCATCCTGAGCAAGAGCAAAAAACTCTTGTCTCTACTAAAAAGGAAAATTAGCCAGGCATCGTGGCTGGTACATGTAGTCCCAGCTACTTGGGAAGCTGAGGCTGGAGGACAGCAGTAAACTAGGCTGACAACACAGCACTCTAGCCTGGGGCAAGAGAGTGAGACTAAAAAAAAAAAAGTTTTTTTATGGGGCACAAATTTTTGGTAGTATAGCTGAAGAGGTGCCAAGACTGGCTGACTTCTGTATTTAATGTAAGTTCAAGGCCGGCGCGGTGTCTCACTCCTGTAATTTTAGCACTTTGGGAGGCTGAGGTGGGTGGATTGCTGGAGCTTAAAGAGTTTGCGACTATACTGAGCAATAGCGAGACCCCATCTCCACTGAAAACAGAAAAATTAGCCAGGTGGTGTAGTGGCCACCTGTAGTCCCAGCTACCTGGGAGGCTGAGGCAAGGAGTTTGAGGTTGCTGTGAGCTACACTGATGCCATGGCACTGTGGCACTCTACCTAGGACAACAGAGTGAAGCTTGGTCTAAATAAGTGTGTGTGTGTGGGGGGATATACACACATATATAAGTTCAGATTGGCAGGAAGATGTTATTTGGGTAAGTGAATTAAATTCAAAGGAAAATAAAAAGCAGGACTATGAGGCAAAGGCAAACAATGAAATCTAAAATGTATGACAAAATGCACGGCAGAAGGAGAACTTTTAAAGTAGGCAGTTGTCAGCTTGCGTGTGGATGGGGGGAACCACAGTTGGAGATGAAGATGCCAAAAGACGGTTCATAGCAGATCTTCAGGAAGCACAGCTGCCTCCCTTGGAGTCTGCTCTTACACGTAAGGCTGGAACAGTTGCAAACCATTTAGTCTGGGCGTATGCTGTGGACTGGCTGATCGGAACTGGGGGAATGTCATTAGTCACGGTGTAATACCATGTGACTGCAGGCTGTACAGGACGTGAACCTTCAGCATGGACTCATCACTCTCACCTCTCCAGGCTAAAACATCCTGCTCCAAGTACTGTCCTCCCGACAGCTACCAGACACTAGAACAAGGGTCAGTTAATTACTCAACTGGCCCATCAGGACCTAGCCTGATGACTAACACCATCAACCATCAGGCCAGTAGTAATTATAGCTCATTGATAATGCCTTTATAATGTTCCTTGGCTGCTGAAAGTTCTATGGTATTTGTATCATTCACTTTATCACCCTAGCACGGTGGTCCTAGGGATTAAAATGGTTGACCCCTACAGTAGGAAGAAATTGGGGGATCTCTAGTTGCCTTTCCCCTTCTATCTTCACACCAAGTTCTCCACCCACCCCTAGAGGCCTTGCCTTTGTCAACTGCTTGCTGGTTCCTCTTAGGTCACAGAGCAGTGGAAGCAGCCCGGGTCTCAAGGTTTTGCTTGACTGTATCCAAATGACCCCACACCTCTTCAATGGCCCTGGACAGGTGAGCGAGAGAGTGGTGTGGAAGAAGGGACAAGCTCCATCTTGAGGAGTGCGGAGAAAACTGGACAAACCAACAGCAGGATCCACACCCTATTTTCCTCAGCTGTGACAGGGGTACATCTTTTTTTTTTTTTTTTTTTTTGAGACAGAGCCTCAAGCTGTCCCCCTGGGTAGAGTGCGATGGCTTCACTGCTCACAGCAACCTCTAACTCCTGGGCTCAAGCGAGTCTCCTGCCTCCGCCTCCCAAGTAGCTGGGACCACAGGCGCCCGCCACAATGCCTGGCTATTTTTTGGTTGCAGCCTTCGCTGTCGTTGATTGGCGGGTCCAGGCTGGATTCGAACCTGCCACCTTAGGCGTATGTGGCTGGTGCCTTAGCCACTTGAGCCACAGGCACTGGGGGTAACATCTTAACTGCATGTTTTTTCATAGCCATGAAGCAAAGATCTTAAATGTTTTGCTAAACACACGGTCTTTCTTTGACTCTGGCATGATTTTATGCTATGCCCCTTGCCTTTTACTTACTTGCCAGCTCATTCTAGCTTAATTCACTTAATATATAAAACAAGAACAGGCCGAGTGAGGTGGCTCACACCTGTAATCCTAGCACTCTAGGAGGCTGAGGCAGATGGATTGCTAGAGTTGGAGACCAGCCTGAGCAAGAGCAAGACCCCGTCTCTAATAAAAGTTAGCCAGGCATTGTGGCAGATGCCTATAATCCCAGCTACTCAGGAGGCTGAAGCAGGAGGATTGCTTGAGCCCAAGAGTTGGAAGTTGCTGTGAGCTATGACAACATAGCACACTATCCAGGGCAATAAAATGAGACTCTCTTTTAAAAAAAAAAAATACAGGCTGATCAAACTTTGGCAGCGTACCTGTGAAGAATTCATAACACATCAGTGTACTGCAGCATGCAATGGTTGTTGGCAACCATTGACTTAAAAGATCAAGCTGCTAAATATAATATCCAACACTCTTCATGACCTGAGCCCCTCTTTAATTTTCATCCTCTTGCCTTTTACTTTGAAATTTTATGTCAAATAACATTGAACTTGAGCCTATACCTTTGGCCCTGATTGGGACTCCGTTGTCTGGATATTTTCCTGCCCATCGTAGCTGATCTGTCTCCTACTAATCTTTTAAGAAGTCAGAGGGCTGGATAAAATGGCTCATGCTTGCAATCCTAGCACTGTGGGAGGGCAAGGTGGGTGGATTGCCTGAGCTTACAGGTTCAAGACCAGCCTGAGCCAGAGCGAGACCCTGTCTCTAAAAATAGCAGGGCATTGTGGTGGGCACCTGTAGTCCCAGCTACCTGGCAGGCTGAGGCAGAAAATTGCTTAAGAGGTTGCTGTGAGCTGTGCTGCCACAGCACTCTACCGAGGGTGAAAAAGTGATACCGTGTCTCCAAAAAAAAAGAACTCAGGGACACTTGGAATGTTTTTTGATTTCCCCTATTTCTAGTTATGGTCTATGTTAGATCTTACCTCTGAATTCCCATAAACATCTGTATCGTTGCACTTATCACTGTGTATTAGATGAAAAAAAAAAACATTTTTAAACTCCTAAGACTTAAAAAGAAAAAAAAATTAAATATCAAAGCAGAAGATTCATATATACTAAATAAGAAAATTTCTGAGACATTTTCTGGAATTGTTTGATTAGGACTAGAAAGAATTAATAATGATAATTTTTACAGGAAAAATGGAGGTCAAGGAAAAGCTATACTGGTTCAGAGAACAAAAGGGATTTCAATCGAGAAAAGTACCATTATGAAGTCTAAGGATCAACCACTTGGGATGTGGCCTGTGTCTGAGCTAGTGTGTAAAGATAGGTGACCCTTTCTTTTT